AAATTTTAGTAATTATTTGGCTTGAAAGTGATAGTGTGGCTGTCTGTGTGAGGGAAACTTGCTTTGATTTGAACTTTTGTTTTTCTGACGACATGTCGGCCTGGCCTGAGTTGGCCTGCCGCCGCCACGCCTACGCGTCTTACTCCATCCCTTCCCTTATCAGGAGAGAAAATAGATAGAGAGCAATGTTCCTGCAGGCTACAGCTCGCGATGACGTTTATATTGACAACTACTCTCTGCCAATACCGGTGTGAGGATGGGAGAGAGGGGAAAGTACAAAAGAAACTCAAAGTGAGATCAAGCTGCCAGACTAAATAAACTGCAGAAGCATAGTGCTCTGCTTTGAGATCATGTGTAGAAACAGGAAATCCACTATTTGGAGGGCAAAATGGTATGGTACATACTTTACTAGAAATAAGAATTCCTAAAATATATTACTTTTTTTAAAATTTGTGTAATATCACAAAAGAGCACAAGAAATAAACAGGGATCACACAACGGAAAGCCTCGCAAAAGCTGCTTATTGCAATTCAGTGAAAATTGCTTAACATACAAATACATTGGGATGATGAACCTTGAATAAAATAGTTGAGTGAAAGCACTAATACTAGTATGCTCAGAATATTACATGACACCATAGGTAAACGAGTGGTAAACGTCAGTGATGCAAATTTTCTGCTTTTACTTCTTAGGAACACTGGCTTTCAGTTTTCCCTGCACACACACAAATTTGGATTCATAACAAACCTTTTCAACATACCCTTTGGTTACCAACAACTTAAAAACTCAGCATAGAGGAAAACAAACCATTGATTCACTTGTGACATGATATGCTTCAATACTGTTTATCACAAAACTATTACCATGTAATTGCAACTCTATGCCTTAATTCAAACCTGAGCCAGCAGGGGAAAATAACACTACAACCACCTAACACACATAACTAAGGTTTACAAAATTTTACATTACACATAGAATACATAAACCAGCTTTGGTAAAGCAATAATGCAAATAAAGAAACAAAGAAGACCTTCTGCTTTTTGCTGGAATTAACTACTAGAGAATTTTATGAATGCTTACTATTCACTACATATGGCCTAGGGCAGTCTATTAGATCACATAGATAAATTCGTTCAATTTGCAATAATATTTGGAATATCCTGCTGGTTTGATTTTCTGACTTTCAATAACAACTGTAAAATGTAAAAAAATGACAAAAAAACAAATAGACAAAAAAACGGGGGAAAGAAAATGCTTAAAATATTGTACAATGTGTTCCAAAACTGCTTGGGCAGAATTGACCTTAATTTAACTTTTGCAACTGTCAAAAAAGTGGTAAAATGTTTGATACTTGATATTCCTCTCTTTGGGCCATGGTTCTTAAGCAGTTTTCATTTTAATCAATTGCACAAACCGTGGCTTGTGAGAATAATCTTGATGAGTAGCCTCATACTTAAGTCTCAAGTTTGATTGCGCCTCTTCACTGATCCACTTTTGAATTGCTTCTGGATGAGAGGGGTCAACTTCCATTACCAGCCTACCCTTGTGTCTCAGAAACTTTGAGGCAACTTTAATCAATGGTTTAACAAGTCGGAGGCCATCCACACCTCCATCTAAAGCTCGCAAATCTTCATACCTAAGAATTGAGAATGGAACAATTAAAATAGTCAGGTTAATTTGTTACTGTAAACTAAATTTCCATCGTTAACATAGCAGAAATAAAAATAAAATCTGCTATTAACTCACAATTTGATTTCTGGTTCAAGAGAAAGCATATCCTGGCTTGGCACGTACGGTGGATTACTCACTATAAGATCAAATTTATCATGCCCAAGTGCCTTATTGAAAGTTCCATCCTCAGCAAGTTTGGCATGGATTACATTAATACGTCTAGCAAACCCTGCAGACATAGCATTTTCCATTGTCAGCCGGCAGGCTGTAGTACTTTGGTCAACTGCAGTGCAATAAACCTACAAAGAACGTATAAACATTCATTTAAGTAAAAACAACTCTCAATGTAAAATTTTCTTTGAGTCAATTGGATTTACCTTGGGGTGCTCTTTCATCAATGATAGACTAATAGCACCACAACCAGAACCAACTTCTAAAACATTGACATGGCAACCCTCAGCAATGCTGCAGTTATCACATTCTTTACCATGTGGTAATGCAGCAACTGCAACATCCACCAAAATTTCAGTTTCAGGCCTTGGAATGAATACTGGTGGAACCATCTTTAAACTGATGCCACGAAATTCCCACTCTCCAATAATGTATTGCACTGGCATTCTAAAAGAGAAAGGAAATAATACCAGTAGATTTGAGCAAGTCCACAGAAATATAGCATTTCATTCATACCTTGCAAGCCTGCATTCACAAAGTCGATCAGTTTCAAGTAGTTCATCTGAGGTCATTTCGACAGTAGAGTGTCTATCCAGTTCTGAAAATGACCTGTAGAAAATATTGTGTGATTAAAATTAAGCAGTGGAAACATAATAGGAAATTTGTAGTTTGGAGACCAAAACATAAGCCACATCTGTTTGTCCTTGCACAGTAAGTGGGACAAGTGCCTAAACATAACCCCAATAGCATAAAACTTACTTTCCACCCATGACATGAAGAACAATGTTCCGTATGGAGTCCTTTGGCTCTGCGACACCTTCATCCTTAAATTTATTTTCCCACTTTGACAGAACAGCTGCTATGGTAGTGTTTGAGCTATCAAGTCCAGGTACGCCTGAACGAGCCGACGACGACAAAGGCGACAACAGTCGCACGGATGGAAGATCCTTGGAAAATTCCATTGATCGCATTTGGATTCTCGATGAGGCAGACAGGTCGGTAATCAAACCCAAACATGGTCGTGCTAAAGCACGAATGTTGAACGCCATGATTTTCAAAAGAAAATTGTGTGACACGAATTAGGAGGCACTAGCAGAAGTCCAATGGAGATTTATTTTTGTTTACAAAGATTGGTGACCGGACGCATGCAATACCAACAGTAAAGCAAAATGTTTCTTGGTAAAATAGTTTCTAAATAAATGGAAAATAGTCAAAACCATTATTTTAAAAACATAATGAAAGTGCTCTCATTTTTAAAATGAAACTTAAACTGTATCATTTTGTGAAAAGGTGTGAAAGTAGCATGCACATTGTATGTGTATGTTGCCTACAACTGGAACTGTCATAGACGCTGAAAGGTGAAAGTGAACAGAGGGGGAAAAGTGAACGGTAGATAGTCCTGATTCCTTCTGCAGTAGTCACACCGTAGCCGGCGCCGACCAGCTCAGTACAGTAAGGGTATGGAGAATTTCGCCCTAAACATAGAAGCGCAGGGTCGGACTGGAACATAACAAGAGCTGATGAGCTGGGCTCTCTGTGATTGGTCGAGAGCAGACGAAAACGCCCAGAAACAAATGACGCTTTGTTATGTTCCTGGACGCGGCAGCATCCGTAAGGGTAGGGGTAATGCTGCTCGCCGATTGGTTCCTCCACATGTCACAGCCGGGCTAGGCAAGTGCTAGCTCGCGTGTGACGAGTTTGACCAATCAGCCAGCGTCAGTGCTGTAGTGATAGTATAGTGTCTTCGTCAGCAGCAGCCATGGCCGGGGCCGGGGCCGACCCTCTGCGTGAACTCGTGGACGACGGGCAGATCGAGTGCCTGCTGGAAGCCCTCAAGAAGGACCTGCCGGATTCTATCCATGTAAGTGAAAGCCATATGTCTTGCTTTCTGCCGCGAGGCGAGACGTACGTCTTTCGCGCTCCTTCTCGGGGTGACGGAAATAAGGTGTAGCCCCCCCCCCCTCACCGCGGCACCTAGTCTAAATTTGTGTTCTTTAAGACGTCCTCCTTTTTAAAACCAATTTCGACTTTCGTGATTCAGGTCTTCAACTGCATCTCCACGCACCTCCGCTGGCGCCGCGAGGGCCTAACCGGGAGCGACATCCAGGTCGCCGTCTACCGCGGCGCGGACGAGGGTGACGCCACAAGCGGCACCACGACCGTCGTCAGCATTCTCAGAGTAGTATGTAGAAAAGTTGAAGGCCTGTTCCAAAATAAATTTAAACTGTTGAATGCGTTGTGCTGTTGCAGTTAACAGGGAATTCCACCGACACGGGAAACCGGATCACGCAAAGAGGGGAAAAGCACTACCATCGTTCCTGTTTCCTCCAGTGCGCACATTTGGTTGACTGCGACAGTGACGTCACCGTTGACATCATGGTTTAGGGGAGGAAATCGGAGCGGACGTCTTGCCTTGCCTTCTCTTCTGCAAGATTCGGTTTCGTCTTGGCGAAAACACCTCGCTACCCCCACTTGTTCTGAACCCGCAGGAGGGCGTGCCCGGGCCCGCGGTGGCGCTGCACTCCACGGACCCCTCCTGCGCCGCGCTGCGCCGCGCGCTCGCCACCTCCAAGCACATCCCCTGGGCGGACTCGTTCTTGTTCGAGAGCGTGCACGAGCGCTGCATCCCGCACGTGCTGGCCGAGACGCGCGCACGCGGCGTCCCCGCCGCCCGCGAGTACCCCACGCACAAGATGCAGCTGCCCGCGGAGGAGTGCCTGCGGCTGGACGTGCGGTACGTGCGGTGAGCCACGACCTGCACCCCCCACAGATTGAGTGTTTGTGACCATGTGCTCTTGCCTCTCCACCGCAGGGACCCCGGGCCCGGGCTGACGCTGCGCGCCCTGGAGCCGCGGCACGCCAAGGTCGTCAACGACAGGTGGCCCTACAGGCACGTCGGGTCCGAGGGCATGGTGGCCAAGACCATCGAGAGGAACCCGGGGCTGTCTTGGGGCGTGTTCACCGAGGAGGATCCCGAGGGTAAGTCGTTCATTAGATGTACACTAGCTTATATATTCGAGGATGGATGGAGGAAGAATATTCGTTGTCAAAGGTATGCGACGAGGGTACCGTCAGATCTGGCGTTGCTGCGCGGCCTGTTCGGGCAGCTCTCGACGTTGCACCGCCATCTGTAAATCTAGTGCAGTTTATCTCTCCATGGAGATAAGATACGTTGTAGGGAGGGCAGGTAGAACACGTTTGTCAAAATGATGTCAGAATGACCTCATGTCAGAATGACCTCATTTTGACGCTTATCGTCAAGATTTACTGCGGCTAGGCAGCCAGATTGAGCTCATTTTGACGTCAAAAGAGTGTCATTCACGAGTTTTTGACGATTGTGTTCTACCTGGGCGGGAGGGACGAAAGGATTACCTCGATGGGATAAGTGACATTTCGACTCGATTCGTTTTCCCCGCAGGCGACCCGGTGGCCGTCATCTTGGGGGCGTGGTACGGCGGGCTGGGGATGCTCCACACCATGGACTCGCACCGGAGGCGCGGGCTCGGCGAGCTGGTGACCCGGGCCGCCGCCAGGGCCCTGGCCGAGCGCCACGGGCTGGCCGCGCACTGCAACGTGGTCTTCCCCAACCCGGCGTCGGCGGCCACCCTCGACAAGGTGGGCTTCCGGAAGGT